TTTAAAGAAAAAGAAAGCTCTTAATGCATAACATTGCAGGGTCTACAGAAACCCAGCCAGTGCCCAGACTTTGATGGGTGTGCTCGGGAACCACGGTCAGGCACAGCTGAGAAGTCACTTTTCTGTAGGACTGGCCTCGACCAGTCCAGTTCCATTGTCACTGTTATCCCACTTTGGGGTGACCATACTGTTTAAACCAAAAAGAGACCTGTAAAAACTTGTGAATGGCAACCCACAGAGTACAAATGTTATTGCGGGGTCTTGGAGTTGTTTTCAAGATGGTTTGGCTAGAAAGTCCCAGCCAACTTCCTCCAACATGTGGTCCGCTCAGCCTAGGTGTTTTCAATAAAAGCTGCCCTCTCTTTTCAGGTGTCGGCTAAATTTGTGGTTTTAAGAAAACCTGAGGGCTCTGGGAGAAGCCCTTCCGTGGGCAGTCAGAACCTTCTGGTCCAGAGGAGAAGCCATCCCCTTACCTGGACTTATGACCCGCGGCTTTGCTCCCAGCCTGCCTGTCGAGGTCCACAAGATGGGCTCCTTCCGCAGGCCCAGGCCGCGTTTCATGAGCTCCCCGGTGCTCAGCGACCTGCCTCGATTCCAAGCCGCCCGGCAGGCTCTGCAGCTGAGCTCCAACTCAGCCTGGAACAGGTAAAGGAGGCCAGGTGTGCAGTGGGGGGCTGCCAAAGGCCAAAGCAGGTCAGGGGACAGGCTTAGCTTCTCCTGCTTCTGAGATCTCTGCTTCAGAAGGTCATGATTACAGGGACCATCGATGAAGAGAGGGTGTTTTCCTATAGAGAATGTATTTGTGAGCTTCCCCTGTTTTAGTAGAGGCAGAGGAGACCACTAGGGAGGCCTCTGGGCTATCAGAATCAGTTAACCAGTCCAGGACAGTTGGATGGGAACTCACAGATTACTATTTGTGTTCAAAGTACCTACAGGTGAGTTATATAAGTAACCCCAAGTCACCTTCTACCTATTTGGGAAGATAAGGCATGCATCTGTGAAAAGCTAAATGAGCAACATAAACCAGGGATTATCACGTAACCAGTGAGCCACAGGTGGTTGGGAGAGGAGACACTGAACTTTTGTAACGTGTCTTGCCAACCTTTTGCACACCAAGCACTGAGTAGAGACTGAATCAATATTGTCTTGAGCTTCTACGGGCCACTGTTTTTCAAATCTGTGCACTTACTCTTTGGATAAATTAAATGCATCATTGTTTGAAAGCATTACTGAATTCTTTGTAATTTGGATCATTATGGATTTTCTTAATGAACGCACAACTCTTATGGAGAGGGAGTGGGGGCTCTGAAATGTTTTGATGTTAACTGGATCCTTGTTCTTTGAAAAAGGCCTGGGACCCTTGGTAAAGACAAGATGTAATCAGCTTCTTGCTGAAATATTGGGTTGGGGTCCCAGAGAAGGTAGAATCAAGACTTAACTGTGGCCCCTCAAGGGACTACTTTATTTGCCTGTGTCTCGCAGGAGTGAGAATGGAAGGGACAAGTGCGACCAGCCCCAGTGAAATTCTTCCAAGGAAAGTACTATTGAAAAAAAGAGACAATGGGTTATCATTTTCTATTAGCGCCAGGCTGCCTTCTGAAGACAGGGCCTGGAGGTGGAAGAACCCCAGGCCAAGGTCAGCGGCTGCTTGTAGTAAACACCATTTCAGATGCTTCTAGGCCAGTGATGCTGGCCCAGCTGTTTCCTCAGAGCAGATCCCGTTGCCTGCCCTTTATTATTGCCACTCAGCAGCAGGGTTGCCAGGGAGGGGGAGGAAGACCGCCAGCCTGTGAGAAAGTGTTGGGGAGAGGGGCTGCTTTGGGTCCTCTTGACCCCATTCATTCTTCCTTCCTCTCCAAGGACCCGGGGAAGGAAGCGATGGGTTCTGAGGATGGAAAACATGGCCGTGTTCATGCCACATTCTTGGCCCTTCCAGCTGCCTTCAGCCCCGAGCTGTTTATTGAGATGGCCCTGGGGAGGCAGATCTTCTAACCAGGGGTTGTTTTCTGTCTCCCCACAGCGTTCAGACTGCTGTGATCAACGTCTTCAAAGGTGGAGGCTTGCAAAGCAACGAGCTCTATGCACTGAACGAAAGCATCAGGTGTGTGCAGGCCAGCCCCGGGGCCTGAGCCGGGCAGAGGAGGCTACCCCACCGGGAGCCTTATTTTATGTTTTGTTTTCTGCTTGGTTCTTGTTGCCGCTTCTGTTGGCTTTTATGTGGCTCTTACAGCTATTAAGTTCCAAGACCCTTATCTGTCTAGACTTCTGCTCCAGAGGGGGTTCATCCATTTGTTCATGCATGTAGTTTGCGTGTGGCGGGGGTAGAGAGATGGTAGGTGTCATCCATTCTGTAAACATTGATTGCGCCCTGCTTAACCATTGGGAACCATACTAGGCAAGATGCCTAGATGCTGGAACCAGTCTGCTCGGGATTTTATTGCTGTTACCCTCTTTACTGACTGAGTGACTCACCAACTTCTTTGTGCCTCAGTTTCCTCTTATGTGAAGGAATGTGTCTACTTCCATAGGATTTTTGTGTAGGTGAAACTGAATTGTTATAGAAACGATCTGTTTGTAAAGATTTCGGGTACAATAAGTGCTTGGTCCTTGTAGCTGTTTTCACCATTATCAGTATTGTCATTATCATTCCTGTTAGGTTTTAGAGATGCAGCCCTCAATAAGACATGGTCCTCGAGGAGCTAATTATCTTTCAGGATCTTCCCAGTAGAGCGGTGTCAGCTTTCCATTCATTCTTCCATTCATTCATCAAATATTTGAGTCTCCCTATTGGCCAGGCCCTGGAGAGACAACAATGAACAAAGACAAGCGTGGACCCTGCTCTCTTGGAATTTACATTCAGTCAGGGAGGTAATTGTTAATCAGCTAATTACACTTAGAATGCAACTGTGACAGCTGGTACAACACAGCCGATGTGATGAAAGCATGGAGCTGATCTTGCCAGGGACACCAGGAATGGCGGTGCGATGCTTAGACTGTCTTCTGAAGCATCAGTGAGGATTAACTAGGTGAAGAGGGCTCCAGGTGGTGGAGATTGCAGGTGCAAAGGTCCTGTGGTGGCAATGAGCAGAGAACTGAAAGAAGGCCCACATGCATAGGGCACCAGAGGTTGGGTGGTGGTGTGAAGTGAAAGCAGAAAGGCAGACAGGGCCTTGAGCCCTGGGAACAGGAGGTTAAACATCAGGTGTTTTAATGCCCCGGTGTTCATTCCTTTCTGGTGTGTTAAGTGCAAAACATCAAGGCTAAAGACCTAACCTTGGAGTGGGCAGAACAATAAACAAGGCCATTATTCGGGTCCTGTTTACATTTAGTCAAGACCTGTGTTAGGGCTCAATGAGGTGTTTTAAGAGCTCTGCTTTCGTTAAAACCTTTGGAGCTCAGAAGTAAACAGAGTTGTTAAATTTCTACCCAGGTGCTCGAATGTCACGTAATAACTACACAAATATGGAAAGAGACAATAGAGATCATTTAGCCCAAGGCCTCCTTTGACAGAGGAGGAAACTGAAGCCCCAGGAAGTTGAGTGACAGGGGCAAAGCTAGGTCAGCCACACCCCCACCCCCAGTGGAAAGAGCTCAATTTTATTCTAAAAATTAAGTTCCTGGCCTCTCCATGAGGGTTCTTAGCTCACAGTAGAAGTATAAATAAATAAAATGGTGACTCAGGAACATGCTAATTGTCCCTCACTTCAGGAGGCCAATCCTGAAATTGTATTTAAAATCTTTGTTAGTGGGCAGCTAGGAAAAGGGCAGGCCACACCAGATTTCACCAGCCTTGTTAGCTTGGGGGCTGCTAAGTCAGAATCCTTCAGGTGCCCAGCAGGTCTTCTCAGTGGGTGACACTCACCTGGGTGCACAGAGGTGAGAGGTCACCCTCCATAGAAAGGGGATTACCCCGGCAGACGACAGATCCAGTGACATATCTTATTTCTCAAGAACAGGAAATTGGGATTTTTATGTGAAATTTCCTGGCTTTTTAATGTTGATAAATAATCCACATTTCCCCAAACATTGGTACAGGCCAAACAAAACACATCTGTGGGCTGAATTTGACCAATAGGCTACCTATTTATAAGGTCAGCT